GACCTCGGAGAAGCCCTCGCGCTCGATCCAGCGGCAATCGTCGGTGATCGACCCGTCGGGGTCGACCGCGCGGGGGTCGACCGCGGCGCCCAATTCCCCCGGCGCTCGGGCCCGAGGGCCCCACTCTGTAGGCCGCAATTGGCGGCGCCTCCATCGCTCACTCCACCGCCCAGCGCTTCGCGCCTGTCTCGGAGCAGGCCCGCGCGCAGGACCCGCGTCCCGAACCGCGGGCGTCGGTCGCCCAGACGTCGCCGGACCAGATCCGGGAAAGGTCTGAGGAGAGGACGGGTAAAACGGCAGACATCAGCCAGAACTCGCAGCGGGCGGAGGCCCTGAGATCGACGCGGCGCTTACCAGCACGCCGAATTAAGTCGTAGCAGGCACGAAGAATACTATGCGCAGGCCTGCAGAAAATCGCAGTCGACACAAACTGGCCGACCAGAGCCTCCACCTGCTCGCCCGACGCGCGCCGCCAGGAGGCCGCCCAGGAGGGCCCCGCGGACCGCCCACACGCGGTCGACGCTGCGCCGCGCGGCGGGGCGCCCCCCGCCAACCGAGGCCCCGAGGACGCCTCAGCGACGTCGCGCATCTGAAACCCAGCGCCCCGAAAGCCCTGCAGGACGCGGCCCCGGGCGGACAGGACCTTGCCCAGGCGGGGCCCGAAGACCGCGACGCTGTCGCAGCACGGCAGCGCGACGGGGTCGGCGTCGACGGGCGGCAACGGCCACGCGCCCGCGATCGCGCGCTCCGCCATGAAACCGACCTCGCGGAGGATCCCGAGGTGCACCTGCAGGATCAGCCAGAAGGCCCACGCCCAACCCGCAGGCGCGACGGTCAGCACCAGGAGCACCCAGTCGGCGTCGCCGAGCGGCTCCCCGATGATGTCGGCCGCAAGTCCGAGGGATCTCGCCTCGTCTCTCGAGATCCGCTGCGCGGCGAAGTGCGCGGAGAGCTCGGGGCTGAGGTCGCACTGATAGAAGCATTTCATCACGTCGGCCTGCGCCGCGCAGAGCACCTCGCCCTCGGGAACCCCCGACTGCGAGAGGCTCTCGGCGGCCCCGATCTCCATCTCCAGGCACATCCTGAAATTGAAGTTGTCTGTCGGCAGTCGAGGACGAGACGCTGCTTATCGTTCTTTTTCCTCGCCGAAGAAGGGGCGGCAACTGCCCTTCTTGCTGCGCGAGACCCCAACCCAATGAGCCCCGCGCCTGCCATCTGGGCAAGAAAGGAGATGTAGAAGGAGCGGTCGGCCCTGAGTCTCTCATCGAAGTAGGGGGCGATCCTGGCCTGTTCTGTCCGAATGTCGACCTCTGGCCCGTCAGAAAGCATCGAGTCCTCAAAGTTGCGGGCCACATCGCGGAGTCGAATTGGGAGGACGTCCGCGCGCGGCACCGGGGGCGACGAGCCGTCAAGCAGGGAGACCTTCGAGATGTCGCACGGCACCACTGCGCCGCCGTCACCGCGATAATCATATCGGTGCCCGAGAAGCTCCCGCGAAGCTTCCTCGGGCGAAGGCACAGGTACTGAAGGGGTAGCCGAGGAGATCGCCCGAAGCAAATGCCGATGTGCCGCCACCTGCGCATCGTTCGCGGCGTCGGCAGGCGGCGACTCGCAACCGCACAGGGCGGTCAGCGCCACGACGGCCGCGTCGGCGCCCCCCCGAACAGCCGCACGAGGCCCAGCGCGCCGCCCGGCAACGCGCGACCGCCCAGGTGACCTAGGTGGAGCATCCCACGGGATCGGCGGAAGGAGAAAGGTCTCCTGCGCGCGCCCGATGAACCCTGGGCGGCACTCGTCGAGGCCGCGCATAGTCCCGTCAGCGGTCGCGAGACGAAAATCAAGTCCGGCATGAGGTTGGGGCCTGAGGTCCGCCGTGGACCAGTGGAACCTCGGCCCCCTGTCTCTCTTTCGCCATTTGTCCTTGGCAGGGTCCCCCCAGCCTTTCTTGGCCTCGCGCGCCTTGCGGCACTCCTTATCGATGGCGGCGTGCTTGCCCATCTCCTCCGCCACGTGCTTCCGCAGAGACGGGGCCATGCCGGCGCCGCCGTTCCTCTCGTCGATGCCGAGGTAGTGCTCCCAGCCCTCCCAGCTCGGGTTGTGGGGGTTCTCCTCATGCACCTCCTCGGCGAGCTGCTTCCTCCGGAAGATGAGCTCGGCCATCCCCAAATTCTTGAGGTTGACGTCGTCCTCCGTTGTCCCGATCTGCAGGGCTTCGGACAGGACCTCGTGCTCGCACACGGAGCGGTCTCGCGGCTTGATGCCAGACTCCGCCACCCAGCGGTCGCGCTCATGCACGAGCCCCCCGCCCCCAGCCCTCCCGGCGCGGTCCACGAGGTACCCGCTCGCGCGAGGCCCCGTCAGGGAGGACTTCACGTTCGGATCCTCGACCATCTCGGCCGCGCACTGCATGGAGGGACGGGGGCGCCCGCTGGGATCGATGGCGATCGTGCGCCTGTCCACTGCCAGCTCGGTCTGCCTGTGCACCGCGCACTGGTCGATG